GGACTATTTAAAGTACATGTTGCTCATAGAAGATCATCAGTTTTACATGCAGGAGTTTTACTTGTACTAGAGTATTATTACTTTGTGGTACTAGTACTTTTAGTCAAGTCAAGGATCAGAATACGTTCACCGATTAAACCCATCATACATAAAGTTAATATCTCTTAGAAAGATTTAGTCAGAGTGTTTGAACGTGTTGTTTCAGTACGTGCTGCCTGTTTGCTGGGACACAGAAACTGACCTGTATTTACTCTAAGTTATCAGGAGGGCGTGTCCGACTTCATGCTCAAGTTTCACTGACAGTAACTACAAGCAGCGACTTAAGAAACAAAGAGCTCCTTGAATAAAACACTACAGAAATATTGTTCTCTATGCTATGGATTAAAATGGAAAAGGTGAACATTACTGTGAAGATAAACTCAAGCAGCAGCTGTGCACTGTGATAAGATGTATTGTCATGAATACATGTTTTAAAAATTGCATAATACCAGGAGAGTGGCTTGTAATTCCATAAATAAATAAATAGGGTGGAGATATTATTACGGAGTACATTAGGTGTGACTAGAAACTGAGCTTATCTTCTTAAAGGAATCTTACAGTGATAAAACATGACTACTAAAAAGGTGCTTTGATCTTTAGATTCTATAGAGTGGCGAAGTCACGCCCATCTACTTCCGCCCCATGGGACCTTATTTCTGAAAAATTATGTATTGAAGTCAATGGAGAGAAAACTTATCTTTTGATCCCGTTTGAATTGTGCCACGAATAACACATATGATGTTTGTCAATCTTAAAAAATAATTTCCATGTCAAAAAAGTCACAGTTTGTCTTAAAACTGTTGAAATATAAGACTATGAAAAATACGCAACTAGAAAAACTACAAATCCCAGAGTCGCGTACATTAACGTTACACATTACACTCGTGTTACTCACCGAAACCTTGTAAAGCCGGTCCCGCATGCTGGCTCTTACAGAACCGACTAACTCCCCTTGTGTGCATGTACAGTTCTCAACATCGCCAGACTTGTAGTGATTTTCACCTCTTTTAATACTTTTCACTTCATTCTGAAAGAAAAAGGTGAAATGTGCTAACGTGACGGCCATCTTGGTATTGGTGACGTGTGCAAGATCAGAGTTGTAGTTCATTGAGCGCTTCACACAAAAAAATATGTTACTTCACAGTTTTACGACACATTTTTATTTTTTTGACTTTCAAAATTATCTTTTAAATTGACAAACATTATATGTGTAATTCGTTGCACAATTCAAACGGGATCAAAAGATAATCTTTCTCTCTCCATTGACTTCAATACATGATTTTTCCAAAATAAGGTCCCATGGATGGAGGTCCACCGGAAGGGGAGGGACTTCGCCACTCTATTAAAAGAAACTAGCACACAAATTTGTCTTATTTATAGTTTCCGTCAGGCTCAGATGTTCCTCATTGTGTCAGTTTGAAGCTTCATTATGAAGGAATTATGTTATGCTTTGGTGTTGTGTTCAAAGGGGGCCTATTAAGCACATTTTCAGGGTCAAATTTGTATTTAGTGCCTCTACTCTGACATGTTTACATGATTGAACGTTCAAAAAGCTCTTTATTTTCCTCATACTGCCTCTTTTCACCCTCTGCCTGAAACCAGAGACCAGTCTGCTGTGATTGGCTAGCTGGCCTTTAGCGGGACATCACCTACGATGTGTTAAAGTGATAGCCAATTGAAGTGTGGGTGTTACGTAATGATGTCATCATGTCACGTAAATAAACAAAGGAGTCCAATGTAGGTGTTCAGGCACGGGGAGAGTGTGGAGAGAAACTTTGGGATGTTAGCCTTTGCAGACATGCACAGAAACTTATAAAACACACTACTGGAAAGGGACAACCCCCAAAAGCATAATAGGGCCCCTTTGGGGACAGTGGGACATGTGAGGATCACTGAGGGATCTGCAGCATGAAAACAGACAGGGGGTAAAACTTGGAGGTCGGCTCTGTGAAACATGAGGAGTCTCTGAATAATGGACGACCTGCAGCCTCTTGCCTGCTCTCAGCTGCTGGCTCATCACACGGTTTTACCTCCAGAGATCTGGTGATGCCAGGAGGCTTCAAGAAAGACTGGGCAATATTTTTGACCAAATGCCTCCCTTGATTGCGATGGTAGTGTAGAATTGACCACTGGGGCCTTCACAAACAGTTTTACACAACGAGAACTTTGATAGTAAATCATCATTATTTTAAATATTATTAATAAGTAGGTTAAGGCAAATAATAAAACAGCATTGTAACTTAAGAAAATGTATTAAAAGTTTTTTATTTGGTATAAAACCAGCCGTTTGAATAAGTTAACTTGGGCTTTGGAAAAATTGGTTTTAAACTCATGAATCAAATAATTTATCAAGAAATTAATTAACAGAGTAGTTGCTAATATAATAGCTCAATTGGTTTCCGTCCAATTGCTGTTTTTGTCCATATAAAAAACTAACAAAAATGAGATGGTGAACCAGTGGATTCTTCCCATTTTTGTAAAAAACAAAACAACTATTAAATCAGTAATAAGAGTATTGTTGCATATTAATATATTGATCCTCTACTAAACAGTAAAGAACATGAGCCAAATGGAGATTGGTTGATTGACCATTTAAGATATAGTTTCAGTTATAAATATATTTTAATATAACAATTGGACTATTAGAAAAAGGCCTTTATAAGTCAAATCAAGTCCAATAACAGAACGTTTGCCACAATAGATCAGGTGTAATCGAACCCTGAGATTACATTGATCATGTTTGTGACTGAACCAGTTCATGACTACATTTCCTGCATGAAAGCAGGAGGTCAACCCTCGGTCAGCAGGGTGTCTCAGTTATCAGAATAAAAACAGGGGTATATGGTCATTTTGAATATTTGAACCTTCTGTGCCTTTAAATTTATATCAAACACATGCGAATTTGACAGATCCTGACACATTGAAAAATGACACATAAACATCAGTTCTCAGCGAGATCAGGTGAGACTGAAGAACATTAGAGGATTATTTTTCAGACTCACTTGTGTTTGGCGAACTCGTCCTGCAGCAGAGCCACGTAGTTGGCTGGGATCAGTCCGGACTCCAGAGACCCGGTCAGCTTCTTAGCCAGCACGTACTCCCCCCGCTTCTCGATCACCGACAGCTTGTCACCCTCCTTCACCGTCAGCTCGTCGTCGCTGCGGGCCTCGAAGTCGAAGAGCGCCGCGTAAAGCTGCACCTGCCGCTTCTTGGGCGACGGGACGCGGATGTCCCCGGACACGGTGCGGATCTCCGCCGTCTGCGCGGCCGGGTTGGCGATGACATGGTTGTTGTTGTTGGGGACGTTCGGGTAGCGGAAGTCCGGCCAAATGTAGTTCCAGAGCCGGCTACAACACGGCATGCAGGAGCGACAGCAGCCCTCCATCCCGGGACATGAAGCGGCGGCGATTCGTCCAGGTTCTTCCGCTTGATGAGACGCTTCAGGCTTCCTCAGTCCTCTGAAACGACGTCCAGCCCGTCAGTCCTCCGGTTTCTCTCTCTTCCTCTGGCTCTAAACATAATGCCCCGCCAGCAATACTTGGGTAGACTGGCCGGAGGAACCGGTTTTTTCAGTTGAGATCATGGATCTTAGCTCCGCGCCTGCAGTGCGCACGGTGGCTGCGAGAATGCGGAAACGCCAATGGAGGGCATCCAAGTCGGATTGGTTCCCCGCGAGGAGTCGGCGGTGTGAGCAGAGAGCACCCGAGAATGAGAGCATGGCTCCCAAAAAAAAAAATGTTAATCCATCGTAATCTTGTGGAAAAGATTAAGCGGCTGCAGCAGCTGATGCTCGGTGCAGGTGTTTAATCCACGAAAGGAGGAGAGGTGAATCAGCGGCAAGGTGCGTACAAAAAGTTTGGGTTTGGCGCTGAGCACACCTCCTGCTGCTCATACACCTGCGTACTGAGGGAGGAGGCTGCTGACAAACTGTGTGTGTGTGTGTGTGTGTGTGTGCGCGCGCGCGTGCTTTAGTGGGAGAGAATGTCATTTTGGTTGAGTAAACGTTGGAGTCTGTGTTTGCTAAACAATTGTTCTTGCAGTATTATAAATCTTTGGTCCATTATTAAAACACTTTGACATGTAAAACTCCATGACGGCATATTATTACTTGATGAAATAAATATATTTGCAACAATTCCCTACAGTCACTTAATCCGTTTTAATGCTTTTCAAAATGATTTTCTTAGCTTTTTATGATGTTGTTTATTGAACGTTTATTTGGTTGCAGTTGGTTGGACAGATTAAGAACAAACAAGAAGACAGCAGCTCTGTCACTGGGAACTTGTGATCCACATGCTGTTGTTTGACATTTTATAGACTAAACAGTCAATTGATATGCTCACCTGTAAACAGTATTTTTATTTCGAATACAAGGAAAAAGGTTGGCGGTTTCTTTAAGTTGTGTTGAGGGTTAGGGTTGACTTTTTCATGTCTTTTCTAAACATGTAGACACACAAACAAACAACAGACATGGAAGAAATGTGTTTAGCATTTAGAGAGTTCGGAACCATTTTGAGTTATTTTTCAATGGATAAGTGGATATGTGTTTCATTTATAGTAAAACGTTAATGCAAAGTAATAATAGATGTATTTTGTTAGCGCTTTTACAGGTGCTCAAAGTCGCTTTACAAAGATAGTGAAAATAAAACAAATAAATATAGTTAAAGTAAAATTAAAATCAAGCAATATAAAAACAATCACACATTAAAAGCCAGATTGAAGAGGTGAGTTTTTGTGAAGGTGGTGAGGTCAGTGCAGTCTCTGATGGGTAAGCTGTATACATAAAGTAAGCTGTATAAATGTCCCCATAGGAAAATAGAGTGCAAGTAGAAAGCAACATTAACAGAAAGTATTCAGGTAACTCCAAAAAGTATTTGTGTAAATGTATTCTGCTACTTTCTAATAAAAGCAAGTAACAATCATGAACCTTGAGTGTGGAATAGGAAATAAAGACACGGCTCTGTTTCATAGCACACCGTTTTATTAGTATATTTAGCTTTGTGACGTACAGCTCGGGAGAAAACAAAAAAACAAAACTAAATGGTCACAATTTTTTCAAAATCCAGAAACATTGTAGCCTTAGCAGAGACATCACACAAAAGAAAGCTCCGTTTTTCAATCATTGGTTTCTTTGTCATGGACCAGAGTGATATGTTCTCGTTGTTGGGCTCGCGCCCGTACCGCTTCAACAAACAGAAAAAAATAACCGTAGATTTCATTTCTTTTTCCTCGATCATTTAAGTTGCTTCACATATATTATCAACACTTTTCTAAAGAATCAAAATATTCAGCCACAGGTACTGGAAAAAAGATGTCCACTGTTATATATGATAATAAACACAATAAATATAAAAAGAATTTTGATATAATTTATATGGTATCAAAGAGAAAGGGAAATGGGCTTCCAGATAGACTTGTTTTTACAAAAGTGATGTCCTTTTTTTTCTTCCTGAGGTTGAGTTTTGTCTTCTGCAGTTTAAAGTTTTGCTAAATATACTAATAGACTAAGAGACCCGACACACAGGGTCTGTAATGGCTTATCATTCACTGAGGAATCATCTCCACCCGATCGTGGTCACACCAGCCGAGGTCATGGTGGCCCCGCTGTGATTTTGTGTGCTGTGGAGTTAGCCGAGAGGTCAAAGGTCAGCCCCCTCTGAGCCAACAAACACAGCTCGACTCCCCTCCCTCCCAAACAATCGGTTTTGTACGGGAACATCACGCTTTCAATTTCAGATGCGCCCCACGTTTCTTCACCAAAACACAACAATTAATCAAGCACAGACTAGCTGTTAGCATTCCTCAATGAAACATAGGGGCACCTTTAGCACAAATGCTAACTGAACGCTAACAAGGCATTTCTAAAAGGATGCTTAAAAAAAACAAGAGTCTGGTGAAGAAAAGTGCTCTGACTGAAATGAAAAATGTCAACGTGTCCCCGCATGCGATAGGCTTATGTGTGAAATGGTGATACTTGTGTTTTAACGCAGTCCCATTTCCTTTCAGTGTGTAGTCAGATTAACTGAAAACAGGGATGAGGGTGGAGAGAGAGAGAGACAGAGAGAGAGAGAGAGATGAGGAAACAAAAAAAAAAAAAAAACCAGAAAGAATCGCAAAAATCTGTACATGTAAACATCACACTTCCACTGAGTCAAATCAGGAGGGGAATACAGGTTTTACATTGGTATTACTGTAGGTATACAGTCCCGACGCAGGAAATCAAGACAATCAAGAGTCCGGTACAAAGTCAGGTGAAGACAGAAAGAGAACAGAATCAAGTCGCTAACAATTATAAAATAAAATAATCTCAAGCACCACCGAAAAGGAACAAACAAAACAGCAAGACAAACGGCTCAGAAAGCCATTGTTTGATTCAGACAGTAGCTGTACACCCTGCCCTGATAGAAAAATAAAAAAGGCCCATTACTTTTTCTCCTTTGAGTTTTTTGTATGTGTGTTTTACATCTGACCAGACTGGCGCAAGAAGTTTGGGAGCTGACCGGCATCACAGATCATCTGGTGGTTTCAGGTTTTCATTTTTAATAAAGTCCCTGAAGCAGTTTCTGATTCTCCTGAATGGGTTCAATAACTGCACAAAGAGGTCTGTCTGCAGCTACCACAAAGCACATGGTAGTTAATAGGCTTTTTGCTTTCTTGCAGAGAGTTATATGAATAGGTCAATATTGAGAGTGGTATCGATTTTCTCATCCAATCACGGCAAAGAATCAAAGAAGCGTATTCATCCCTTAAATGAGGTTAAATTAAGGTTATTGGACAAATAAAAACAAATTATACTTGTTTTTTTCAAGGTCTAATTCTGATGTTTTCACACTAAACACATCGTATATTTATATGTAAATAAATAAAACAAAAAGTCAAATGAAGTGGATTTCTTCTATAAAAATTAAAGGAATGCAAAGAAGCACATTGTGTAGGGTGGAACAATTGTTAACAAATCAAATGAAATATAAAAATGTTAAATAAATAAATATGTGGTAAAAACTAAAAAGAACAAGGGGAAAGTTACGACGAAGCTCACAGTGTTTTGAGATTTTCTCTTTTAACAAACAGTTTTTATGCTTGAATTGGTTAAAATATGTTTAAACTTTGTTTCTTCGTAGGAAGCCATAACATGTGCAACACAAGAAACGTCTAAGTGGAGGTAATTCTGTGTAAAAAATCATTAATTTACAGGTTCTTCACTTGAAAAGCAAGCCCATATTTAGGAGTGTTTTTGAAAGCTGACTAACCTCCACAGTCAAAGCTGCATGTGTTTACAGGAGCTATACATCACTGTAACTTGGACCTTTAAATTAGCGATAATTTATGACATTAATACTGTTCCTCCGCAAGGTCAGGAAGTCGCTGTGACCTTTTCCCAGAGCTCTTCCTCTGGCCTCAACATATTTCATCCTTTTTACCGTGGATCAATGCTGGATCGTGATCCTAGAGTCACGTCTCTGTGTAAACCTTTGAGAGACATCACACCCACTGAGGAGAGCAGTTATTGAACGGTAAAGGTCAACATGCAGCTTGAATTCTTATATCCTTCATAGAGATGTTTGATTTTGGTGGTAGAATAACGCTTGATAGCTGAACGAGCAGATACATGTTTGTGATGCCGGTCAGGCCCCGCGTTGTTGACATCCATGTTGGAATGTGCAGTATAGGCAAACGGAGTGAAGCTGTTGAAGTATTGTACAAAATATCTTCTCAAAAATGACCACTTCACTTGCACTACAAAATATATCTATATAAATAATAATATTGAAAGGAACATTGATAATCATAATGCAAAATGAAGATGTGTTGGCCGTTAGGAGGAGAACGGACGCTCTGATTACGGCTGAAACACAACAACAGGCCGTCGCAAATCAAACAGCAAATTACACCTTTCTAAAGATTGTCATTTGCCTATTTTTCTTTTTTTGTACAGTTTTTTTTGTGGTGCGGTTCTGCAACTTTCTGACGTATAAGTAAACTGACCTGGGCTCAGAAACACGTACAGTAGAAAACACTAAGGTTGACACTTAGGAACCGGTGAGATAAAAGTCCCCAACGTGACCTTCTGACCGACTACTTGATTATCACTTCAAATACTTCAACTCGGGCACTTTGTTTTGATTCCTTTCGGGCGATCTCAGGGCTCCAGTCGTGTGTGCTAAAGTAGTTATTCTTGGAAATGTTAAAGAAGCTGTTTAGCTGAGGAGAGAAACAGCGGGGTTAACTGCAATAAGAGCCTCTTTACAGGGAGACTAAAATAATAACACTTTCGTCCTCCTTACCTCATTAGTACAAAAAGAAAGACAAAAACATTTAATTTTAGTTTTCAAGCTGCAGTTTAAGAAATACAGCCTGAGGATAATTCAATCTTAAAGACTGGGGAGGTTACGTTGTACTGAATCATTTACTCCAACTGTGGCTGTGCTCCTTTCTTTTTGATCTAATATTTGAGAATGTATGTTTGCTGATTTCCTCCATTTCTTAAAAAACACTTTAATTGATTGGATGCTAAGTTAGGGAGAAATTAGAGGAACATTTGATTGTACCTCAGTGGGTCTCACAACATGTTACATTGTGGGATTTCCTCTAATTCAAATCATATTTTTTCAGGGATGACCTAAATGTACTGTAGTGACTCACCTTTAAGAGCATTTTTAAAGGTTGTCTGGGTCGTTATAATTTTGCATATTTCTCTCGTGTCATTCGATGATCAGTACACTTTTGAACAGACAAACAAAATAACTTTTACAATTCTATATCTAATCAGCCATAAATTAAATAACTTACATTTTCAACATTTTGAACTGATCTGGAGTTGATGTGTTGGTTTGGACATCAAATGTAGATCAGTGAAAGTTTGGATGGAGGTTTGTTCAGATATGAGATCACACCTCCTGAGAGACACGCTCCAACATGTCCTCCGCTCTGCAGCCCGACATGAAACACAATCTAACACCAGTGAATGCTATGATTATCAACTGCATTGCAAAAAAAAACACACCGCTCCTCTTTCACGGCTCTTGTCTGACTTCAGCAGTGCAAATCAGGGAGGGGGGGGGTACACACAGAGAGGACCCCCCCACCCCTTCAAATCACAGATGACTGCTGCTTCGCTCAGTGTGCAAAAAAGGGAGCAAATCACGGTGACATGACAGTAGAGCTGAGTAGAAACCACAGGACAAGCACAGCACACAGACGATGGCTCGGAGGATTTAAGTCACGCTTTTGTTCAAATGCAAACCTCTGATACTTCAGGAGTTAATTGATAAACCAGAAGTTAATGTGGTTTCTTTTTACCAAGAGACTAAACTAAGTGGTGGTTGAAAAAAGTAAAGTAGCTTATTTCCAACGTCACAGCTAAATACGAAACTGGAGCCAGCTAGATTAGCACAGAGACTATAAAACAAGGGAACAGTTATAACAAAATCTGCTAACCGGCACCTTAAAAGCATATTAATTAGAATGGTATATCCCACTTGTTTAATCTTTAAAAAGAAAGTCAATACATGTGTTTTGTTTGATAAGATGTAACATCTTTTTCAGCCAGGTGCGGTACTGTAGGATCATTTTCAAAGCTTTGTACAGAGCGTAGTTTCCCGTAGTTTTCAGTCTTTATGCTAAACTAACTGGCTGCTGTCTCAAAATCAATCTGTCATCTCACTATTAAATACATAACTATTCTTTTAACAGGATTTACTTGATTTTTATGTATCTGTGGTGATTCAGTGGTATTTTTTTCTTTCTTTCTGGATTAAATTAACCAACAAAATGTCCCATCGTAAAAAAACAAAAAAACAGTTAATCAGGATTAGAAAGTGGACTGTTTTGCTTCCTTGAGAGGTTTAAGTGTGTACTTGTTGGCCTGATGTGGAGTACCACAGTGAAGGTGCAAGACTCCACTAATACATCCCTCCAGAGGATGAAATACGGCAATACAAAATAAAAGGTTGAAGGAATTCACAGTTAGAAAGTCACACAACACAACATGAATCAAGCCCTATGAAGCAAACAAAAAAACAAAGAAACCAACCAACCTGTCAGAGACGGGCGGGGGCGGGGGCGGGGGCGGGGGCGGGGGGGGGGGGGGGGGGGGGGGGGGGGGGGGGGGGGGGGGGGGGGGGGGGATGAAGGCAGGAGTGTTTTCAATGAGTCCTGCTGTTTTTGCTTCGTTGGTTGGTCGGTCGGTCGGTCAGGTTTTCACGGGCACTGCGGCTAGCTAACGCCCGGCTTTGTTGAGGTTTCAGGTCTATGGCAGAAGGTCCGGCTTTTGTATAGCAGCAACAACATGAGAGTTCATCATTATAATCATAATAATAACAACAACAACAATAATGGCCATCTCAGAGTTTAACAGACAAACACAGTAAGACTCCTCCTCTTCCTCTTAAACCTGGACCAAACCAGGGCGGAGGAAGAGGGGGACGTTTAGGTCCATGAAGAAAAGTAGGTCCAATGAGAGAAGAAGAAGAGAGGGAGGGGAGGTAAACAGAACGATGCCTTGGTTTCGTTGGCGTTACGTCTACATTTGTAAAAAGTAGAAGCGGGAGGTAAAATTGGCCACCAGTGATCAATATTTAACCCCTCCCTTCCACACACCCTCCTCTCCCTCCCATTAAAGGAGAGAGTCACACTCCTCTCCCATCTGATTTCTCTCAAGTATTCAAGATGAACTGATTATATACAGCAGCACACGAAGTAAACCCGCACAGATGAGAGAAAAAAGTTCTAAGATGTCAGTGTTCAATCATCAGTTCTTTGAAATGCTTCATCGTTTCCACATTACAGGTCTTTTTGCGCAATAAAGTTTGATTCTCCCACCCATGATATATAAACCTTGAAGACATCAGGTGGTAGAGAAGAAGTAAACTGGCTTCCTGTGTGTGTGTGTGTGTGTGTGTGTGTGTGTGTGTGTGTGTGTGTGTGTGTGTGTGTGTGTGTGTGTGTGTGTGTGTGTGTGTGTGTGTGTGTGTGTGTGTGTGTGTGTGTGTGTGTGTGTGTGTGTGTGTGGAACAGAAATTGGCAGGTCTGATCTGAGGTATTTCCTGGCGGTCAACATGGCGTCTTGGATGCATAAGTAGCAAGTTGCTCCCTGGGTAAAAGGGGTGAGGAGGAGGTGAGGTTTCAGGTGAGGGGAAAGTGCTATAGGACACAGAGAGCTTATTTACAAGCGAGCACACAAAAAGTTTCTCTCCTCCTCTTTTTTGTTTTTTTAAACAAACATTTTCTTTTTTTTCTTTTCCAGTTTCCATCCTTTAACCCCTCCGGACTCAGAGTCAGTGCTTTCTGTCAAGATAGCTCAAACCGCTCCTTTCTTTCAGTCACGTGGGAAAAGTAAAAACAAACAAAAAAGCTCACTGGACTCCCAAAAAAACAAATGAATTCTTCCATTAAATCAAAAACACTGGTCATTTAACAAAGAGCTTCAGTAGTACTAACTCAGGGTGTCGTTATTTATTTGAAATTGTTATCATCGTTAGACGGCGTTGGCCCGGGCTCCCATCAAAACTGTTGGAGCTCCAAAACTTCACTCCACCCACGAGGAGTCTTTTTATCTGAAACCGCAGCAGCAGAATCATCAGTCCTTTACTCTTCTTCCTCTCCTCCGCACTCCTTCTCTCAGAGAGTGGTGCTGATTATGAGGTGCTTCCAGAGAGGAGAGGAAGAGTATCCTTCAGAGTCCCAATGCTCCTTTTTTCTTCATTAGTTCCCTCCCCGGGCAGATAAGATGGGTTGAGGATGTGGGGGCTCGTTTGGTGGGATTTGTCTCCCTCCCCGTCTCCCACTTTTTCCTCCAACAAATGCAAAGTGGCCACAGTGTCCGAAGAGAAGGCAGATTTAAGGAGGGAGGAGTAAAACAGGAGGAGGTCTGGTTGATTAGGAGAGGCGGGAGACGCAGACATTCACAAACATGAAGGGAGATGTGTGTGTGTGTGTGTGTGTGTGTGTGTGTGTTTGTGTGTGTTCTCCCACGTTTTCCACAAATCAGTTCTGCTGCAGGATGAGGTTCTCCAGCTCGTCGGCCGAGCGGAGCAGGAAGGCGGCCGACTCCCGGTAGCCGGCGATCAGCTGACGCACGGCGGTGATCTCTGGTTGGCTGAGCTGGGTCGAAGCCCCGCCCCCTCCTCCACCCCCGCTGCCCCGCCCACCCAGGCTGTTGTTGGTGGAGGCAGAGGAGGAGTTACTGATGTTGGCGGAGGACAGAGACTTCATGCTGAGGTCTGTGGGACCTGAATGTGAGGGGAGAGGGGGGAGATATACATGAGAGATGGATCGATGAGAAAAAAGGAGGAAGGAGTGAAGTGAAAGGAAACAATAATACAAGGTGAAATGAAGAAAAGGAGAGGAGTCACAGGGAGAGAAAAGAGAAAGATCAGTCAGTTCAAAATGACAGTTATTAAAGCTTGTCCAGCCCCAGGTAAGCGGGGGGAGAACTTGTGTAAACTTCATCTTGCAGATAATGAGGGTTTGCAAACAGGACGCTAAACACTTAAACTGGACTTATGTGTGTTGAGAGTGAAAAGCAACTGCGTCTTGGTACAACTCTCTAAGTGTTATAATGCCAAGAGATGAGGGTTAAATAATGGCCTGAAAGAGAACATTAAGCTCTCTATAGAGGCTTCTCAATACTCAAATTTCCCCTCCTCGACTCCTCGGTCCTCCGGTAGTGACCCGGAAATAAATTTCAGCGCGCCATTTTGAAGGACATCTCATTTCTCTAAATGCACACCGAGGACCGAGGACCGAGGATCGAGCGTCGAGGAGGCTCTCTGGAGGAGCTCTAACCGAGGATACACTGATGGTTCCTCCACGGCTCCTCCACGGATGCATTTCCGGGAACGGTGGAGGCGTGATGCACGGCCGGACTTATCTCAGCCAATGACAGCTCTGCATGCATCCCCTGGATATTATTTTAGAAACTGCTTTCATCGCGTCGCGATGTTTCCAGAGAGAACAGCTGTACGGTCCGTGCAGAAACCAGAGCAGTGTGTATAATATATATCACTCAGTATAACAGGCCTACTCTCTTTATTTGCAAACAAAGAGTCGATATTTTTCACATAATAAAATACACAACGGCTGTAGCCTGATTATGCTTTTGGAGCTGTAGGTGTGTGTGGTACAGTGTGTAGGTGTGTGTGGTACAGTGTGTAGGTATGTGTGTGGTACAGTGTGTAGGTGTGTGTTGTACTGTGCGTAGATGCGGCGGACAGACGGGTCTCAGTTGGTTTGGTGTCCTCTGCTTACTTTTAATAGGCCTACTTGTAAATACAACTTTTGGCCCGTAATTTCAATTCCCCATTTCAGCGACCAGAGAGAGGGGGGGGGGGGGTGCATATATCCAGTCTCTGATTGTGTTACGTTATTATGAGAGTGCTCACATACTTTAAATTGTATATATTTATATAAATATATTTGTGTGTGTGTGTCCGCATCTGTAGCCTGTTATTGTCTCATTATACCGCACTCTCAATAAATTCAAAGTAAATATGTGGGGGAACAATGTTCAGCTGATCTAACAGAGATACAGCGCTATGACAAAACACTCGACAGCTGATGCAGCTGTTGCCACGTAATAATGAACGGACGTCGCTTTAATATGACCGCTCAGAGGAGAGGAGTTCTCATTTCTTTAAACGTCTGCTGCTTCCCCTCCTCTCTCCTCGGTTCCCCTCCTCGGTCCTCCGCTCGCATCTCCTGTGGGCGGGACTAAGTCTTGAGGAAGGGAGTCGAGGAGGGGAAATTTAAGAATTGAGAAGCCTCTTTTGACTAGCTAACCTGTTTGCTGAAGCTCTAGCTGATCATGTCTGTATGCATTTATGACACTTTGTCATCTCTTTATTAATTTCATTCATGTAAATATTGTTCACGTGTGTCATGGCAATACTGTAACCTTGTAATCACGGCTGGGTGTGGTTACAGGTGACACACAGCACTCTGACCACACCCAGCCGTGACACAGGGTGTGTTCAGGAGTGAAGCTTTCTAACTTGCAACCCTCTTTAAACTTTATAGACTATTTCAACAAGGTCTTGAGATCTATGAGAGATATGAAGATACCAAAATGGCTGTAACTTAAAACTATTGGGAAATTACGGATCTGTAGTTGACCGGCTAGCAAAAATATTGAGTTTTACTTTTGAATTTCTAAGTTATCTGTGACTTGCTTATTAAACCCTGATTTGAGAGTAAGTCTGCTGAGCATGTACGCTGTTTTGAGGAGCACTTCTTCCTGGAACAGTTACAGAAACTGATGGGACACTAAAGCCCCTTAAGAGGAACATGTATTGTACATCAGTTTGAAAAGGCTGTAGTATTTTAGCTCCACATTTAAGGAATGCTGACGTCAGTATCGTGTGTGTGTGTGTGTGTGTGTGTGTGTGTGTGTGTCTGCCATCTGCTGCTCCTTCTCCTTTCACTGATCTCTTTTCTTCTGCAGCTCCTTCTCCATCTCCTCCTTATTCATCTACAAATTACCCACTAATGCTGCTTCCCTCCCCCTCCCCCTAACTTCCTCTCTTTAATTCATTTTTCCCTCTCACTATGACATGTGGTCCACTTCCTCTCCATCTCTTCCTCCGCCCCACTATCATCCTCACCGTTGCTCTGACTAGCAGCTCCGGTCGTCTGGGAAACGGGGTGTTGCATGGCAGCGCCCAGGCCCGGGTATCCACGGTAACCGTAGCTGAGGCCGGCCCCGTTGATGTAGAGCTGGGAGTCCTGGGAGGAGAAGGCGGAGGCGGCCAGGGAGTAGGCCGAGTGAGCGAGGGACGCCGGCTCCCGCAGACCCCCCCCCCCACCGGACGCCTTGTCCAGGGAGACGGGGTCGTCCTGGGGAGGAGACAGGGAGCCACGGGGGGTTAGTTTCAAAACAAAAAACAGCAATCTTTGAGGATAAAACATGTCTTTACTTAAGTAAAAGTAGAAACACTGTGATCAGTAAAAACTCCCTTACAAGTAAAAGTCCTACATTAAAATGTTACTTGATGTAAATGTACAAAAGTATTTGCATCAATTGGAACTTAAGTAAAAGTACTCATTCTTTACAAAGGCCCCTTCCAGAATAATATAATGTAAAAAGTATGATAGATAAATGAGGATAATTAAAATGTAAAATAAAATGCAGTTACTACTGTAAGTCCTAGATAATTCCAATAAAAGGTAGATCATTTTTTATTGATACATTTAGAAAACAAAATGACATACAGTTATGTATAACGATTAGAAGGTTTAAGATCACATTTCTAAAATGTCTTAAAGATACAAGGGAAAAGGTTGTTGTGCAGTAGACCTAGTTTGTGAAGCAGGAAAGCGTGACTTTAAAGAGTGATGGAGCAATTCTGAGCGGTGATATAGTTATTTTCCAGTAAATTGCTTTATAGATATAAAGAAAACAGTGAGTATCATATCTCTCTTGGAGAGAAAACCACCCAACCCTTTCATATCAAATATAATGGTGTGTTCCATAGACATCAGCGGTGATAAATCTTACGGCAGAGAGGTCAATAGACTGAGTCCACAAGTTTGAGAGTTGAAGAGGAATCCTATAAATCACATCTGACTGACAGGAAAACTGCCTCCACAACATTTGGGGAATATGTTTGTGTTTCTGTATTTAAAAAAACAACCTTTGCCTAAAGCGGCACAAATTATTATTTGTGTGACATTTGAATGAGAGTTTCTAATCAATCAAAATGGAGAGATATTTATATTGCATGACCCTCTTGATTATGAGTGTGATTATAGTCCTTAGGTCTATAGTGCTGCCTCTTTAAAAACATTATTTGAGCATGAAATACAAGACTTGAAGATCATCACACAAACGCTATCTTACGTGATAGGTGTCGAGGCGCATCCTCTTGGCGGCGTTGCGTGTTTCACTTTCGCAGGCGGCAGCCAGGATGTTCTCAGCCATGGCCGAGGTGAGGTGAGGCGGAGTGGGGCGGGTCTGCAGACACAACCATATTATGGAATTTAATTACAGAGGGAAAAAGAGAAAGTCATTATAATATATTTCCGTTAACAGACAGAACATCAACAAAGCGATGAAGGAAATGAGGCAGAGAGGGGCAGGAGGCTCCATAAATATAATTGTTATACTACACTGGAATGATGTTGATTATTTACTTAATTTCTTCTGTTAAATGGTTTGGATTTGCATTATATGTGTTCATTTTATTTTACTTGAATTGTCTTATTTCATTGTAGTCCTGAAATATTTTGTTCCTGGTTAAATCATGTTAGGCACTTTGTACATTTCCGTTGTAAAGTTCTGTATAAATAAAATAATGTTTTCCATTTGTAACTCTTGTTTGCATATTAGATTCTGAAATCTTAAATGTTACATAAGATTTGGAATACAATGTATTAAAGCTATTAAATCCCAGAAAACATGCTTTGCTATTATATGCAGACTGATGCAAATGGTTTTTGAAGGCAATTTTGTCACAATAAAAATGAAGATACACCTTCCTGTGTATCACATGGTGCAATATGATGATTCACCACTGGGGGGCAGCAGAGGCTTTTTAGTGACGGACACATTGTGACATATCTGTTACTACCTGGTAATAATGTTCAAAGCATACACCCTCCTGCATTCGTACAAACACATCCAATCACACTGCCTTTGCATTATAACAGTACTGCAGCAAATACTGTTGATTAATTAAACATGTATGCTGGGATTTACTGATGTTAAGAACATATGACGCAATATGTATATATGCTCATTTTAATTCATTTCTTACTTCATAGTTTATATTTTCATCTTTGATTTTATTAATCTGTGTGAATCTGTGTTGTCCTGTTTTTCATCCTTACCCTGTTGCTGTTGGAACTACTGAATTTCCCCACGGGGATTAATAAAGGTCCATCTTATCTTATCTTAAAAGTACACTAAAGAAGGAAAACCCATAGTCAATGTCATGAATTAAAAACAGACCTTAGCTAATGTTAAACTAATGAAAATCATACAAAACAATTAATAGTTTTTTGAGCGAGTTATTGGTGTGTTTTAGTCATTGGTGAATGTTAACGTTATAAAATCACACACAAAACATACCATGTATATTCCTTAACAATAAAAAGATATTGGGCTTTTGCTTCAAAGACAGACATTCAGACATTCACGTACCTCCATGCCGCTCTTCTTCATGCGTCGGCAGGATTTGAGGTAGGTGCGGATGCGCTTGCGGGCGCGCTCCTGGAACTCTGGGAACTGTCTGCTGCACGACTCGATGATGGCCTGGATCTTCTCCTTGGGCTGTTTGGAGATGGGAACCATTCGATCTAAGTTCTCGTCCACAAACAGACGCACAAACATCTGCAGACAGAAAACACAGCAGTTAATGAAATGTTTTTTTAATGGGTTATTGTTTTTTTAGCTAATTTGTGTATAACTTGCTCCTTTAAGTTGTCTTATCAATTTGTTTGTACATTAAGTGGTATAATGTTACCAAGTACAAGAAGTAAATATTGTAATTTTTACTAGTATACTTAGGGTTGCAAAATTCCGGGAATTTTCAAAGATGGAAATTTCCATGGGAATTAACGGGAATTTATGGGAATAAACTGGACATTTTCAAAATTGAAGGTTGACTCTCATAGGGAACTTAAATATAGTTGGGGAAAGTATATTTGAGCTTAATCTTGACTAAAGCAAACAGATGCCATTCAAGTACACTTCAATCACATGCACATAGCACACTGCTTACTGCATGGCTATTGAGACCACACCCCTACAGGCACTGAGCATTCATCCATCACATGCACAGATGATTTCTTGTGGGGATCTTTGGATGGGGGGTGCATTTTTGTTCATTTTTGAATGAGTGGTGTGGGAGGGGGGGCAGGGTGAGTAATATTTAACTCAACATTCATGTTTTTGTTCTTCAATGAAACAAATTCAATCAAATAATTAAAACTTGTTCTGTTCTACTTACAAATAAATCCCATAAATAGTTCCCATCAATTCTCATAATTCCCATGGAAAGTTTCCAATATGGAATATTTCCAAAATTCCCCAGCTTAACTTCCCATTGAAATTTACCGGAAATGTACTGGAAATGTTCCGCCCCTTTGCAACCCTAAGTATACTACTATTAGCTGTTACTTTGCAGATTTAGATTAATCATACAATATAAAGTAAATCAAATGTGTTCTGCCTTTACCAGCAGCAACATATAATAAACATTTGAATTGCATAATGAGAACTTTAAATCTGTTTTTATGCAAGTCAAGTCATCACTACTACATTTGAGTATAAATTATTCTGGTGTACACATTTATATTATTGCTTGTTTCTTATCTTTATTTCCTGTTGTATAGATCATTCTTGTTTAGTTTTTACCCTTATTCTAGTTGTAAGTCCTTATTTGAACCTTATTTTAACCTATCTATTCTGTACTTATTTCTGTTGCTGCATCAGCAGAATTTCCCCTGTAAGGATCAATAACAGCTTATCTTGTTATTTTCTTAGGGTCTGTGCCATGGAGTGTGATTAATGACACTGACATGTTTTACAGGATGAACAGTGTTTTTTACTTAATGAATATAAGGAGACACCTTATTGATACCATAATGTAACACCCTCTCTCTGACTTACATTGAAGGCTTTTAGTCGCTCGGGATCGACTCCCTCTGCTTCGTTGATTTTGTCGTTGTCGTCATGGTCGTCATGGTCGTCATCGTCGTCGTCAGGGCCGACCTGGCGTCCTGTGGTCAGATCCTCGGCTCCCAACTCCATCTTCACACTGTCGTAGCTGCCGCCAGAACTGTACTGAGGGGACTGAACACACACATGATGAAGGGTTATGTTAGAGTTGGTCATACATTCAGTGTCTCTATCTATGTACTGTCTACCTGATTTTATCATCATGGGTTTGAGTGGTTCATTGTGTCATTCGACTTTCCTTAATAAAACCTGAATTAAAAGTTTAATCGGGTGTTTTGTTGGGACACTCGAGAGACATCAAAGAGGCAAATATCAGCTTAAAAAACTAAAACATTTTATCAGTGTTTTGAAAGGTGATACAACAATAATTTGGAAAGATTATAAACCGGCAAGTTTTTCAAATAAATCGACTTGAGTGATTTATTTAGGAAAAATGCAACATTTCTGTGGATCCAGCTTCTTCAATATACTTATCTCTGTATCATTGACTTCTTGTTGTTCAAAGGGGTTGGACTCTTGGACACTGGGCAAGCCACTTTTCTGTTGTCGTTTTTAAAAATGTATAGTCTGAAGACATGGTGGTAAGTAGAAATTGAATGTATTTAATTGTAAATGTTTCTGTCTGTCTATTCCCCAAATAGGGAAGCAAGTACAAGAGTGCTGCAGGGGGTCATTAAGATTTAAAATCTCCGTCTTTATATAATAATAATTAAAGCTATATAATATACTTCTTGAAATCCTTTCTTACGTAATCTTATTGTAAACAATCACTTGTGTGTGTATGGATTTACAGTTTGTGTGTGTGTTTGTTAGTGCTTGTGTGTGTCTGCTGTGTTGTCTCACCTTGCCCCCGTAATCCCTGCCGTCTCGTTCCAGTCGCAGCTCGGCAGTGTGTGAGTGGGACTGCGAGTGTGTGTTGGGAGTGTGTGCATTATGTGTGTGAGGTGTGTGTGTGTGTGGCAGAGGCAGGGCAGGGTGTGGGGTCAGCGAGGGTTTGGGAGCCAGCGGGTACTTCCTGCGGAGCTCCTCGGGGTGCAGAGCGCCGAGCAGCGCCGCCGCCGCCGCCGACACGGTGACGGGCAAGTGAGAGGAGGACAGGCGCTGAGGGGGGGGGTCGCTCAGGTTCATGGGCTGCTGGTCCTCAGACGATGAGGAGGAGGACGTAGGCGTGCTGAAGTCCAGCGGGGCGGGGCCGCCGTTGCCATTGACGATCCCGGTCTCCCTGACTATAGCAGCGTCCGTAGCGGCGGAGGAGGGGGGGGTCAGAGCCGGCAGCCCGCTCCCACTGCCGCTCTCTGACGAGGAATCCTCTGGAAGCAGAAGAGAGGTTCGTTTAACAGATGGACTAACGCATGTCTTTGTTGCGTCTTGATGTTTATTTCCCACTGAGGTTCAAGCAGTTCAGAGCGTTACTTCACATTATTCATTGTTTCTGTTTTGTCCTTTCAATGATCCTGAACAATCTGCACATATTGTCCTCACACTCCACCTGATTTCACTTTAAATGTTAGTAAAACAAATTTCACACTTTTATTACTGCTTGTACAGTACTAGTGTTTACCGGTATATGTTTTATAGTAGTAGGTTGGTTTATTATATTGTAACCTAACCTCTAGTATTTTAATCTTGTATTCTACACAAACTGTATACAGTAGATGTTTTTTACACATAACATTACGTGAATATGAGAGAAGAAAAACGTAGTAAAAAGGTCATTCTCACAATGACTAAAGGGGCAACGAGAAGGTGAGTTATGTCATTCAAAACCGACTATTATCTACACACATTATGTACAACATCATGTTTCTATTTTCATCATTATCATTCTTGTATGTGTCTTGTTGCAGGGAGTATAGGTGACTAATGGATCCTAACATAAACAAAATCTAAAAACGAATTGCAGATAGGTCAGAACCTGAGTAAATCAGTCATTATCATTGAGATGTTACGTGATTGCTGTTATGTGTGCATGTTCTGAATAGACACATAAATACAAGGCATATTCATATATATATAATTCTATGGCTCTTTCTGAATGCCCAGCAGATGGCAGGCTTCCTTCGTGAAGAACTATGAGATTCTTAGAAACAGTTTCTGCTTCTGTTCTTCAATGGTTCATAACATATTATTTCTGTATGCTTTACCCTTGAATTGCAATTGCATGTTTCTTGCATACAGCGGGCAAACAATATTACGTTTAGCAAACTACAGCTCGAAAAGTCACCAGTGCCTGAGTTATTCTCAGCTTCAGAGAGATATTATGTGTTGCAGAACCCTTGCTCTCTATTTCAAATGAAGATGTTGTATTGTTATTATGTATTTTTTATGAAAGGAAATTACAAAATGATTCACTTTGCAGAAAAATAGGAAATGTCTTCATTACAGCCAGAGCTGTCTCACAGCTGGAGTGAAATTGGGGGACGGTTACTGACTTCCTGTAGCCAGCGGGGCTGACAGCAATAACACGAGAAAATTATCTCCAAAGTGTCTGCTGGTGGGAGGAAAATAATGAGTCCTCAAATTATTTGAATTCTTTAAAAGCCATGGGCTGTGCACTGACTGCTAACGCCTTCCTTGGTGCCAGCAATAACAATGAGGGTGTGAGAGATAACATTGTAGGCCAAAAATGGTCATTGGAGCTTGTGTAGTTTCAGAGATGAGGTTTTCTGTTCTGAGAGTGATGCAGAGAGAGGGACTGCGTGCAGCTGCTGTCAGGCCATTGTTGCGGGTCGAGTAGAGTTTGATTAAACCCATCAAGTCTGCAGCCTGACCAGACAATAACACAGTGAACACCCTGCATTACGACAGAGACCCCTCCCCCACCTTAACACAGCACCACCGCCGCCTCATCATCATCATCATTACCAAGATTGTATTCCTCCCACTTTTTCTGAATCACCCTAACATCCTCTTCCTCACATCAACATTGTTAATGCCATGTTCACGGTTCAAATAGTGCAAGTGAGTACAAACTTCCATTTAGAGCTACAACCAGAACAAGAGTGAACGTGTGTGGTTAGCTCTGTGTCTCCTGTCCAATAGAGCTGCAATTAACAATCATTTTCCTTATTGATTAACCTTTAAATGAATTGTTTGCTCTATAAAATGCAAGGAAACTTGCTTAACCATCATAGTGAACCTGTAATTGGGGGTCAGTATTAGTGGAAGAAGTATTCAGATCCTTTACCTAAGTACATTATCAATATAACAATACAAAAATACTGCTAAAGACAAACAAATCCTAGAACATACAAAAATATTATCAGCAATATGTAGTTAAAATATATACAAATATTTGTTCTGCAGAAAGTGTGTACCTGACTGACATATCAATACATATCACAGTAACACAATTACAATTTGGACACCAATAAGCAAGTTCAGTGTTGCAGCTGTTTCCCTGATTGAATGATTTCATAAGAAAGTCTCCAAATGTATCTCTAAAAGGACTCTCATGAAACACACAAGAGAATGGGGTTCAAGGGTGTAAAATGCTTTAGTATTTATTGTTGAAGCAGGTTCAAGATCTCTGGATCTTTTTTCAGACAGACCGGCTTCTAAATAAGTGGTTGTGGAATAAATGGTGTGTGCCGTGCAGGCTGGCAGGCAGGATGGATGTCTGCACGCCTGATAGTTTTATAGTTCAGGATAGACTTCTGCTCCATAGTCCTCAACACATACCACAATGAAGCTTTTCTACTGCCATAACCACATACAGAGTGAGGATGGATATAAAGAGACACACTTTAACATTCACATTAACCTACATGCGACTTCCGATTTTACCCAAATGTATGGTTCAATGTTTAATTAGTGCAGCACATGCACTGCAATATTCCCAGCATCACAAACAGATGGAAAGAGACGGGGAGATTTCCGCTGATGAACATCGGGAGAAGCTAAATGAGACGAAGCAGAAAGACTGAATGAATGATTTGAAACAGAAAGCGGCTGATTGGAGAAACAGGGAAAAGAGAGGAGGAAAAAGAGGAAGAGGAGGGTGTTTGAATGAGTCAACAGCCCTAAAACGCAGCAACTGGATTGTAAGGAAAAGTGATGCATAGAAAGAGAGGGGGCAGAGGATGGTATCGACTGTGTCATTCTTTCGGTGGGGGAGGGAGGGAGGGAGGGGTGGAGCCCAAACCGCTGCATGGAGAGAGGGAGAGATGGGTAGGGGAGGCACTGGGGTAAAGAGAGAGAGGGCGATGCACTATGAAGGGAGGCACAGCCAGGCAGAAGGAAAGAGGTCAGGAGGGGGGTGGGAGGAGGAGGAGGTGCAGGAGAGGGTCATTGCTCGAGGGTGGGGGCAGCAGGAGGAGAGAGAGGAGAGGATGAGGGAGGATTGAGATGGGAGGGGGAAGGGTGGAGAGAGATTGAGTCAAAGGGACAGGCACGTGGGGGAGATTTTTAGAATTGTATTACATCTCTTTTCTTCTTTGGCTCTCATTATTATATGAACTGTACCAAACATTCGATTGGATAAATACATAGTGTCGTCTAGGGTTGAGTGTGAAGATGATGTGTTGTCTGACACTTAGATGTCAAACATGGCTTGATATTGTACTTATGTTAATAAAGCATGCATTTGGATTTGAGAGCAAGAGAATGGGAGGGGGGGGGGGGTTTACAATTAAAGGGAGATAAGAGGGAGTGAGCGAGAGGGAAGCCATGGGACCTGGAGGTAGAAAAGCATGGCAGTGTGTGTGTATGAGTGTGTAAGGAGTATTCATGCGTAGAGGCGAAGGCCAACCTAATTCCTGCCGCCTTGACACAAATCCCCCCTCAGCAGCGAGACCTCCATCTCTGCATCCCTCCATCCCCGCCCGGGCACACACTGAGGGACCCCTGCTCTCCCCCTCAGCCTCCCTCACGCCTATTCTTTGGATTTTTCTCATTTATCTGTCCACGCCTGCCTCTATCTATTTTTGATTTTCTGTCTTCCAGAAGTAAAATGCATCCTCTACCTCTATTCCCTGCGGTAATGTGTCCTGGCTCTCTTTTTCTCTATCCCCACATAACATGTCGCTATCACACTACATGGTACTGTAACAGGGAAACAGCAGTCTGATAGGAACAAAAGGCCCAACGATGTGTTGTTTTGTGCAGTGGGTTATTGTTGAAGGCCACCTGCAGGTCATGCAAATTGTGGACGAGGTTCAACATGTGTATAGTGCCAAGTCACTGCATGTGTTTTATTTCACAATGCATTACATCTGGCATTGTGACCATCTTCAAATACCCGAATATCCAAATAACATTGCAGCCTTCTAAATCCTTCTTTACCCCACATGTTCTTCCCTGATCTTGGAGACTGAAGGTGACTTCTTTTTGCTTTTCTCTCATCCTGTTTCTTCTCTCTTTTTTTTTGTATCTCAGAACAACAAAGTCTTTAGCCTTCCCCCCTCTCTCCTGTAAGAACTCATGCAGTCAGGATCATCCTTTGTACACACAGTCAGCTTGTGTTTGTTCATGACCTTTGCTAAACGCTGCTGACAACAACAGTAAACATTTGTTCCTCAGTGGAGTAACTGTGCTCGGTGAGGATTAACCACTTCAAAGGCAGACTGTAAAACAGCACATGAAACATTATCGTTCACTTCAATCCTTTTCTCCACATGAGAGTCATGACACCCAGAGTTTAGAAGTCATGATGCGTCCTCAAAGATGAGTGTTGCACAATAGACTCATTCATGAATATGACCTTGTACTCAGTTACACATTATATGATAAACACATGTGCTGACATGCACAACAGTAGTGGAAGTAATCAGCACAGGACAATTTAGGATATTCTTACAAAACTAAGTGTTTCAAAGAACTCGGGATTAGTTATTTATCAATGTCTGCATTGTAGTTTGGGTGCTCTGCGTTATGTTATTGCCAAGCTAATAGTCAAGTTAATGTTTTAGATTCAGGATTAAAATGCACTAAATGAGCTATCCTGGAAGTAATCATTTACAGTATGCATGCAGTTGGCTTATTTGACTTTGTATCAAGTGGAGAAAAGGTGCAAATCCTAACAGTTGAGAAGTTGAAACTACGTGAAGCTTAGAAAGCATACTTATACATACGTATCTTAAAATGTTGACTCCAAAGATATGTTTTAATTAATAACATAATTGTTTCAGTTCTAGATATAGGATTTGTTTTTAGAGGGGCTACTCATCAAACAGCTGACATTTCTGCACAACTTCTCTTAACATGCTACATATCCTCCATGGTGATCTTATTGGATAGGCAACCATTGAGTGAAATACTCTGATCCACATGGAGGTGGACTGGAAACATATTTTGTATGGATATTTGAAAT